CACTGCCGGGTGGCCCTAGATTGGCCTTACATTTGCCTTAAGATGCACAGATTGGCATGGTCTACATTTTTTGCGTATGGTAAGAACATATACATTTGTCATCGATAATTGTAATGGAAACTTTTGCCGCCAAACTTTTTGTGAAATTTAAGAAGGAACAATTCGAATTATGGCGAAATTATCTTTTGCCCGTGTAAGCAATCGCAAGACAAACTTTACCGTAAAGTTCCTGGTAAACAGCAGAAAGTCCAAACTCAATAGAGAGTTTAGCACGAATTAACTTTTGCTTGTTTATCTAAAGAGAAGAACAAAACAAAATAAATGGCTACCGTTACATACTAACACAGAACAAATTTCAATCAAACTACAACCTAGGACAGTGTCAAATCATTAACCGAACAAATTTCTAACTCCAACGTGAGATTAATTTCTTCGTCTTTGTTGGTTCTTGGATAGATTATGTAACATTTGCGTTGTTAACATTAAAAGTTTTGAGTGTGAACAAGAATTAGTGATGTGGTGTAACGGATGGCGTTCGGACATTGTAGACCATAGGACTTCAGTTGCGTTCGGTCGATGGATGCCGGACATTTCATTTAAGTTCAGTCAAACTCTGCCGAACTTTAGTTGAAATTCGGTGGGGTCTGCCGAACTCTTATACGGCCTAAGTGAATGTTAATTCACAACGTAGGGACTACTTTTCCTACCAGAAGATTATCCGCTGTGATAATATTGTTTTCCATCAATAAACACATTCATCCACAATATGTTAACATTTAGCCCTTAAGTTTTCCGAGTCGAGATGGATTAATTACTTAGCATTTACCGCTCATCGGGCTACAACTTCTGAGATTGTTGCATCATTGATGGAACAAGCTTCTGGCCGCGGTGTGGGATTAGTTTCTTCATCTTTGTTTCTTTTTGAGAAAGCTGGAATTTTGGGATTTTCCATTGTAGCTCCTTCATTTTGTAGCATTGAAGAAATTTCCAACATCGAAGGCCTATCATTTGCATTTTCTTGAACACATAGGAGAGCAATTTGCAAGCATCTCATCAATTTGCATAAAGAATGTGTATCGTCAAGTGCGGGATCCATAAACTCCATCCCTTTGCCTTGTTTCCAAAGTAAATATGCCTGAAATTGTTGAATGTTTCATGCCATGTAATTGAAACGCAAAGATTTAATTCGTAGAAAAACCGAAGTAAATATTAATTCTGAAGTGACTGTGGTAATTGAAGAAACTTACATATTCTAGTAGGTTTAAGTCTTCATCTGAACCATAGTAGGGGGCATTCTTCTTGCCACTTATGATCTGTAGAAGCAGAACTCCGAAGCTGTAAACATCTGATTTAGTGGAGTATAAACCTTTCTTAACGTATTCTGGAGGTACGTAACCACTGCATAGAATGATTTAGAAGAATTACTAATTACGTACGTAATGAAATAAGCTCAATTAGAGAGTATAGCTTCGATAAGAAATAGAGTCACGTACTATGTTCCAACAATTCGACCTGTATTTGCTTCGAGTTCATCCTTTGCAAAAATTCTGGCCATACCAAAATCCGAGATCTTAGGCCTCATCTCCTCATCAAGTAAAATGTTGCTAGCTTTCAGATCCCGATGGATGATTGTCAATCTTGAGTACTCTTGGAGGTAAAGAAGTCCCTGAGTAACCCCTTCGATAATTTGAACCCGCTTTCTCCAATCCAATTCATATCTTCTAACAGGATCTACATTTAGACAGATATTTTCCAATCAGTTCTGCATTGAAATGTATCAAAAAATGCATGGGTCATTAGAGACAGCATACGAGGATCATATGCTAACAAGCTTTTCATTATATTTAGCTTAAAGGTTTGTGGCACAGAAAACAGCTAAATCTCGTATTGAGTTACCAAAGAGGTAGAGCTCCAAGCTTTTCTTTGGCATGTACTCGTAAATCAGCATTTGTTCATGGTGTTCGATGCAAAATCCCAAAACCCTAACAAGATTTACGTGTTGTAGTTTTGCGGTGAGCATGACCTCGTTCTTGAACTCCTCAAATCCTTGAGTTGAAGCTTTTGATAGTTTCTTCACAGCGATTTCTTGTCCATCTGGCAATACTCCCTAGTAAGTTAAGCATACACTCATGGTTAGCAGCACGTTTAATGGTTTTGAATCTTCCAGTAACATGCTTATTATAAAAGTTCACCTTATAAACGGGGCCATAACCGCCCTCTCCAAGCTTATTTTCAATCGAAAATCCATCCGTTGCCGCCTCAACGTCAGCAATGCTAAATATTTTCATATTAGGAACGTTGCTGTTGAATTTTCCAGCCGTGTCTGCTATATCTTTTGCCCTGGATTCTGATTCCTTAGCTGCATAATTTGAAGGAAACAAAATGGTTAACAGAAAAAGTCCAAAATACTAATCCTAAAACGTAAATATTTAAAGCTTCAATACTTTAGGCCCCAAAAAAAAAAAAAAAAAGAACATACGTCGTGCACAGAGACATACTATAAGCTATATACCTTTTGATTTGTGCAGTCTCATACGGAAGTAAGTCAACGCGGAGCCTAGCACGAGAATAACTGAAGCTATAGTGGTCAAAACGATTACAAGAAGTCTCCGTTTGTTTTGTCCACTGCTTCCACCCTCTTGAGCTGTGAGCATATAAAATTCGTCATTACAAGTCGGAAGGAATGCATTGTTGGGAAAATTTTCGACTTAAACGTCCAAGTTTAAACAATCATATTGTTAATCTTCTTCAACAAACAAAACCAAAATATTTTATTGTCCTGTCTTGACTGCTAATTTCTGACTTTTTTCAAATAACTAGGCAGAAGCGTTTGTACACGCTTGTTTATTTCGGTCCATTAATTTATCTTTGATTCACTCGATCCAAAGGCCAAAAACAAACAGAAGTGTGTGCTGTGGGGGGGGGGGGGGGGGCGGCGGTGGGCGGGGTGGGGGGTGGGTGGGGGTGGCGGCGGTGGGGTGGGTGGGGTGGGGATGAAGGGGAGGTGGGGGAGGGGAGAGAGAGAGAGAGAGAAAACGTGGGCGAAAGTTACTTTCTTTTTCTTACCTGCAGCTGCAAGAGAAAGCACCCAATTATCATCATGTGAGACCTGCCAGATGTAGTATCCAAGCAAATTGTGCTCCTTAGCATAAGAAACTTTTATTTTCACAACTTCAGCATCATCGAAACTGATCCAAGCCGAATCGATCACACAGTACTTCGCTACATAAGTAGCATTGTAGACTATGTCAGCCCCATATCTATCGGTGTAGCCTTTGATATCCTTGTAGCTCATCGATCCATCCATGGTAATAGCAGGACCTTTAGCCGGTGCGCCAATAGCGCCGTCCCTGGGATTGCTTAGCGTCCAAGCATATCCATAGAAAGGCAATCCCAAAACCAGTTTGGAAGCGGATAATCCCCTGCCAATCCATGATTTGATACCATAGTCCGTGTTCCAGTCACTCGATGTATCGTATAGTGCTGCATGAGCACCGGTGAAATTGGTCCACGGTCCGTGATAGCCATAGGCCAAGACATGTACCCAGTTCAAGTTGGCCCGGATTGATTCAACCGGGAAAGCGAAGGACTCAAAATCTGGCTTGTAGTGCAGGGCAGCAGTCAAAATCAGTGGTGTTTGGCTGTTTTTTGTGGCTTCAGAAGCGATAGCTGCCCGCCACTCTTCAAATAACTTCCCCATATTGGTCATGTCCGAGCTTGTGTTAGCTGAAACCCAACAAAAGTCTAGGCCTAGGAAGCCATAACGCCTTGCGAAAATTATCGAAGAATCAATGAAAGACTTTCTGTGAGAAGAGCTACTGACCATGGTTGAAATGACACCGTAGTCTACGTTTCCACCGCCAATGGAGACGAGAGTAGTGACTGATGGGTTCTTTAGCTTGACGGTTGGCGTGAAGGTGGAGTAGTACTGCTCCGAGGGGTCGGAGGAGAAGGAAGAGAGCTCATAGGATGATGAGTTAACATCTGTGTAAGCGTAAATAAGGTGAGTGAAGAGCGGAGAGTTGATGTCGGAAATAGGGAATTTGCTGCCGGAATACCAGTATGCAGCTTTGATCCAAGATTGTGCCTCCGAAGGTTGGAATCTAAAACCAAAAAAAATATGGAAAAAGAAGAAGAATGGTGGAACTAAAAATTTGGATACCATTGAGAACGGCGAGATAGTTGATGTCAGAGACGGAAACAGGATTTCACATTGCAAGTCGTGGTCCATGGAAACAGGATTTCACATTGCAAGTCGATGAATAAAGTGTGGACATTGTCATTGAATAACCGGCAGTCGGTAGGAACATTGACGTTGAGAAGTATGGGTAGATGCAAAGTAATGATCTCCAGAGAGAAGTATCAATAAATAACAACATTAACGTCAATGTCAATGGTGTCATTCATCTCCATAAAATTAAATATTGGGTCAACAAATTAATAAAATCAGATGTTGAAAAGTCTTTACATTTGGTATGATTGGGTTAGGTAATTTAATTTTTTATTATTATACAGTATATTTTAGACATTACACGTAACGTGATGACAAAGATAAAGATTAAAAAAAGTAGCGTCAGTTTCATGGTAGAAGAATCTACCGTTCGGCACCGCAATCTAAGGAGCTGGCTTCTCTGCCCTTCCACTTCTCATACACTTTCATCCCTTCTTATTTGTACGGTTACGGTTAAGTCACATCAATATTTTATATTACTATTATTTTTTGTCTTATTATCATTATAAAAAAATCAATATAAAATGTTGACGTGACTTAATCCTGACCGCACAAATAGAAGGAGATATAAGTTTATGGGAAATGGGAGGGTAGAGAAACCAGGTCCGCAATCTAAAGCATAGATTAATCAAAATAGGATTATCTTGGCTTCTAGCGATAAATCATCTGTCTAAAATATCCAAATATATTCTTTAGTTTTGGATAATTTCAAGAATTTCATCACAAGAAATCAAACAGCAAAGTTTGAATGGAATTTTGATCTAAGTTCATATATATACGTGTGTGTGTATATAAGTATGTTTGTATACAAGCAAGAATATATTGCTCTTCTTAATTTGCTTCAATGTCTTCCAAAACTACAACCCTTCCATTACTTCTTTCCACCCTCATTTTCCTTATCCAACTCAATGTCTCCGTCGGCCAAACCGCCGTCAAGGGCGCATACTGGTATTGGGACAGTGGACTTCCAGCCTCCAGCATAGATTCCACCCTCTTCACTCATCTTTTCTGTGCATTTGCTGACCTCGACGCCGACACGTACCAAGTCACAGTTTCTTCCTCTAACCAAGCACAATTCTCAAGCTTCACCCAAACAGTCCAAAAAAACAACCCTTCTGTCAAAACCCTCTTGTCCATTGGAGGCGGTGGCGGTGCTATCCTTGCAGACACATTCGCTGCAATGGCGAGCCAACCTGATCGGCGTAAGTCATTCATTGACTCCTCCATCAGTCTAGCTAGGTCATACAACTTCCACGGCCTTGACATTGATTGGGAATATCCATCCACCACCACTCATATGACCAACTTCGGCACCCTTCTCACCGAATTGCGTGCAGCCGTGGCCAATGAGTCGCAGACATCTGGGAGCACGGCATTGCTTTTAACCGCAGCAGTACATCGCTCAGCGGATTACTACACCATAAATTACCCCTTTGAGTCCATATCAAATAGTCTGGACTGGATCAACGTCATGGCTTACGACTTCTATGGCTCTGCCTGGGAGTCAAGCAGAGCCAACACTGGCCCACCTGCTGCGTTATACAATGCCACAGCTAGCCAAATTAACGGGAATGTCGGGATCACATCTTGGATTGGGGCAGGTGTGGCTGCCAACAAGATAGTCTTAGGCCTTCCGTTCTATGGCTACGCTTGGCGCTTGGTCAACGCTGATGACCATGGACTTTTTGCTCCGGCTGATGGACCCGCTAATGCCGGGACAGATGGGACCATGGATTACAACCAGATAAGGGATTTTATCAGCCAGAATGCTGCGGAGACGGTGTACAATGCGACGGTTGTAACAAACTATTGCTACTCCGGGACGACATGGATTGGGTACGATGATACGGAGAGTATCTCTGCCAAGGTTTCATATGCCAAGGAAAAGGCACTTCTTGGATACTTTGCTTGGCAAGTCAGTGGTGACGACAGCAATTGGGCTCTTTCTCAAACAGGTTGGTGGATGGCAACCTGTTTATTTTTGAAACGTCTCTCCTACACGTGGCAAAAGCATGCACGACACGATAACAAATTAACATCTTTTTGATTGACCGTCTATGTTTATTGTTGTTGCAGCTTCAACTACTTGGGGATGAACATTGCTGATACATTTACCTACAACTACACTATATTTGTAGACAAAATACCTTGCAATAAGGGCTAATGAGGCCAAATAAACAATAACCGTTTCTTATATATCTATTGTGCTATGAGTCTATGACTTCTTCTTTTTTCTTTTTTTTTTTTTCCTCAATTGATACTCTACTAACTTCGTCAATTGTTTTGTTTGCTAGTCACTAATAGAGGAGTTACTTAGTATTACGGTCTAGTGGTATTCTTAGATTCGATTCTCGTCAAATGCAAGTTTGAACCACATTATTACTAGCCCATTGTGCGACTAAAGCCAACCCATTCCCCTTAATGTAGAAAATATCGTTTGTGTTAAAAAAAATTAAAAAAGAAAAGAAAAAAAGAGGCAAATGCCATACTAATCTGACTTTTTAAGACTATGGTTAATGTGACCTCACACACCAAATAATAGTAATAAGCGAACTTGAACATCTTATCTATCCAAACCAATTACTTATAATGTTAAATTCGGCATTTGTAAATTGTATCTATGATTCTATGTGTGTCCACAAATCATTTGGGAAACTTGTTTGAAAGATTTTAAAGTCATTTGCTAATGCATTTTATGTGAATAAAAAACTTACATATGATAATACAATGTTAAATTAAAATGTCATGCAATGGTAAATTCTAAAGTAATGATGATTTTTACCACAGTATTGATTATTGAATAAATTTGATTTAATCTATTTACTACATAAATATAAAAATGTAATATTATCTAACAGTAAATAATAGGACGTGCTACAAATCGGTTGGCCTACAAATGAATCCAATGGTGGAAAATGAGAACATTTTTTCTCACCATCATAAACTATGATGTATACTTATCATACACTTAATCAATTGACAAGTGTCTTCTCACTTAACATTGGTTAATTTTTTTTCAAAAATAAAAAAGTAACATTTATTGTGCAACTTAACTAGAATTAAATGACAGGACATGTGTCAATTAATTAAATGTATGATAAATATATACTATAGTTATTATGGTGAGTAAAATGCTCTCGTGAAAGAAAAAAAAAAAAAAAAAAATGCCACACGTGGTTTCACATATACGTCGATCTCACCGATACAGCCAATTAGGTTGACCCTTCGCCACTCTTGACCAACCAGCGGAGGCCCGCGCGCGCGCGAGAGATAGAGCGACTATAGAGTCAGTCAGGGAATGCTCAGCGCGTCGGTGCCCGCACCCACACCGTGTTCTCTCCCCGCTTCGCCTCCCCACCCTCGCTCCAATCACATCGCCGCGCGCGCTTCCATGGCCTCCGCCGCAGCTCGCAGCTCGGCTCGTATAGCAGTCGTCGGCGACGTCGTAAGTCTCTCTCTCCCTCACTCTCTGTGAATTTCCGAAACCATCGCGGGTTGATTAAATTAAATTTCGTTTTGTATTTCTCTAAATTTTCAATATTTTTGTTTTGGGTTTTGTGAAGCATGATCAGTGGAATCTAGAAGAAGATACGAAAGCACTTGAACTGCTGCAGGTATTTACATTTTCCCCCTCTTCAGTATTTTCTTCAACTTACCAAAAAAAAATAAAGAGAAAGTTAAAATCTTTGTTTATTTGGGATTATATAAATTTGTGTTAAATATTAGAAACCCTTTTGCCCGAATTTTATGTTTCTAATTCGGGACCGGGTTATACATATTTGCCCAATTATATTGAAAAATTGTACGTCCTACCAAGAAATCTAATAAAAGTTTGTAACTTTATATCGAAATGCAGCCGGATTTGGTTCTTTTTACAGGCAGGTTTCATTCTCCCTGACTATTTCATCTACCATATGTTTTTCGGTGCTTCCCGATTGGTGAGCTGAGTAACTAGTAATTTTGGTTGTTTGATAAATTCATGACATGTCCCTAAGTGTTGTAATTGTGCAGATAAATTTGTTATCACAATATAGCTAAACCGAGTTTAGACACTTAAGCCATGTGTGGTCATTTTTACGTCGTGGTTGTGCACTATCGTGGCTGCTGAGTTTTATTTGTTTTGTGAAATCTGTAGTTTACCTTCGTTTGTCTATTTTGGCCTTTCCCTTTCCTCCATTTTGTTCAGGTGATTTTGGTGAAGAGAACGTTGAACTCGTTAAGAGCGTTGCAAATCTTGATTTTACTAAAGCAGTTATTTTGGGAAACCATGATGCCTGGCATACAACACAGTTTTCTGGAAAGTAAGCTGTTTCTCTTTTTTTTTTTTTTTTTTTTTTTTTTTTTTTTTTGTATTTTTCTTAATTATTCCTTATGCTTAAAGTTTAGGGTTCTTCAGACACACTGCTTAGTATCCAGTTCAACATGTAACTATCAATATGGTTAGTTTTGAATGTATTTCAACTGTCTCCATCCGCCCCACCCTAAATTGTGCGGTGCATACGTGCCCTTGCATCAAGTGTGTTGATGTAATGCTGATTCTTAGTCCATGATAATCTGGTTAATTTAATATTTGATTTCAAATATCAGGAAAAAAGACGGCGTCCAACTTCAGCTAGAATGGTGAGTTTGTCGTATCTTAATGATTGTCAAACATTCGAAAATTGCTATATCTGTTGCATTTCTGTGTACCCATTATTACTTAATGTTCCATTGAAATATGATATCTTTACTGTTCTAGATGTCATTCTTACATAATATGCTTGTAATATTCAGTCTCGGTGAGGAGCACGTAGGTTATCGGTGTTTGGACTATCCTACATTGAAGCTGAGCGTTGTTGGTGGACGACCTTTTTCTTGTGGGGGAAAGAACTTATTTCGACAAAAGCTCCTGTCTACAAGGTGTGTAATGTTTCTAGCAGTTCTTGATGAAACATGAAACGAGAATTTTATTGATTTGTTTGCTTTCTTATTCAAAAAACAAAAAATATAGTTGGCCCCGATACAAAGTAGCATCCAAGAATTGTGTACTCGTTTTTTATGATACTATGCATGAATCACATTTATCATGCAAATTCTTCGGAGAAAGTGTTTTCCACAGTAGTGGCTTAAATTCTGACTTAATGTGCTGAAACACCAACCACTTAGGTTTGGGGTCCAAGACATGGATGGAAGTGCTAAGAGAATATGCAAAGCAGCTTCGGGCGCGCCTGAGGATCATTTGGTCATGTTTCTTGCACATAATGGACCCACAGGTTTATCAGTCTGCTGAAACAAATCATAATCAGGCTTTTGGAGCCAAACTTGTCACTTCATTTAAATGCAGATTTCTGAGTTCACTCCTTGTGCAGGTCTTGGTTCTAACATGGATGACATCTGTGGAAAAGATTGGGTGTTTGGAGGTGGAGATCATGGTGACCCAGGTAATCTGATTCGAACGTCTTCACTCAATCACTGAAATGGCTTTTGTTAAGTTTTTAAACGTAGTGACACATAATCGATGTGACTTTCCTATGCGGCCCTTTAGGTTGCTGCATGTTAATCATGACCTGATGAATCTAATAGGCATGTCATTCATGTGGTTTGTTAATCTAAGTCGAGATTTAATAACATAAGCATTGTTCGTCCGGTATAGATCTAGCACAAGCCTTGTCCCTCTTAAAAGAAACTGGCAAAATCTGTGCTCCACTGGTGGTGTTTGGTCACATGCACAAAGAGTTAGCAGATGGAAATGGTCTTCGGAAAATGATTGTGGTTGGAGATGACAACACTATATACCTCAATGGGGCGATTGTTCCTAGGGTTAAGAGACTGAATGTTGAACAAGGCACACCAGAGTCCTGTGGCACCATGCGCGCCTTCACCTTAGTAGAGATCTTGAACGGAACAGTTGATAATATTGTTGAAAGTTGGGTATCAGTTGCCGGCGATAGGATCACATTGGAAGAGGAGCACTTCTTGTTCAAAAGTGGCGGTTAAAATTCGCCGAAATTGGATGTTAATTTGAGCCTGATTGCATATGTAGGTACGTTTTCTGTCCACAACTGTGTTACAAGATATCGACTCCGATGCAAAAGGAATATAGTTGTTAGCCCCGTTGGATGTATCTGCTATTAGGGTTCCAAGACAAATCATGTTTGTACGAGGAACATGAAACTCCTTTCAGTAAACTCTTATTTAACCAAACAATCTATTTTCTTGAGTATTGATCTTTTCCAAGATATTTAAATTCGAGTGCAACTGCAAGAGGGTTTCGAGAACACTGTTCTAGCAAACTGACTTAATTCACGCTTGCATTTTACAGGATTTCTCCCTTTTGCAATTATGTCCCCCTTTCTTTTTCTTTCCTTTCGTTTTCCCTTGGTTGGTGCACAGATTCCAAAGCGGTGTAAGGCCTTTTTGACTCTATTTTTTTTGTTGGTTGGTGCATACACTTAACTTAAGGCCTACCCTATCCTTAATTCACTTATGAAATGTCGATCCAAATCACAATTATTACTCTTAATTTGTCAACTTTAGTCCTAATCTAGTGAACTAATCATAGGGGTTTAATTCAAGAGAAATGCTAAGTAGACTCTTTTACAAGTGAGATTCTTTATGGATTATCTGTCATTTCATCTTTTTAGCACAACGTTTCATAATATTGACATGAAAATTGACGTTAAATTGTGAGGTGGTAGAGAATTCATAAAAAATTCCACTTTAGGGAAATCACATTGGCATTTCTCTTAATTCAATGAGATCATGATTATGATCGTAGCTGTCCAACAAACAACCTAAAGCCTTATCGACAATGCCCAAATTTGCAGAAATAAAGGTGTCCATGTTATTGCGTGACAACTTAAATAATTCATCAAACACTTGATGAATATCATCATCTTTATTCTATTGAGCTTTCATGTTCATTGATATGGTCCCCCATCTTAAAGCACAAAGGTCCCCAACTCTACTCATAAAGCCTACTCAATTAATCTCGTTGTTGATGACATTCTCATCTTAACACTGATTTCTTTGATACGTGTCACGTCACGTGAGAAATACTAATAAAGTGATTGGGTTTGCAATGGCCAGACTCAAGCAAATGTTTGCAAAACACAAATCCATGCAAAGTCATAAAGCCATGTATGGGGCTTCATGCTTGTCCAACACTTAAATACATCTCGTTGTACCTTAAATATCAAGTGATGAGAAATATACTAACAAAAAAATATATTTTCGATTATATTAGAATCTATCAATCTTCACACTGATTAATTCAATATCAATCGTATTTTATAATAAAGTTCTAAATTTTGCTAGCTTTCCAATTGCATCTTTCCATCTTTCCACTTTGTTTAACTTTTTAAGATAATTTCTTAATCAAAATCAGATGATTTGGATCCTTGAACTAATAAGTTTTGTCACTTTTGATTTTTGGAGTGATCAAAATTGGGGGTTAAGTGGGTAGTTTTGGTCAAAAGCAATGACTGGAGGAGGAAAAGCATTGGCAAGCAAACCAACTGTCGTCTTTTGGTAAAAACATTGGCTTAAGCAAAAGCAAATGAGGAATGTCTGACTCTGACATCGCTGCCGCTCTTCTCCCTTTCTTCGAAGATCCTCCCACTCTTTGACTGAATCTGGTCCGTCCATCCGTCCATCAATACCATTGCGATCTTTCCCAAATTTCATTTACAACCCAATCCACTTTTTAGTTATAAGAGAGTAATTTTGATGGGGCTGTTGTACGAGTTAGGTATTAGGTACTATTTAACTGTATGCTTATTTCATTGGGCATGACATAACATAATTTTATCGAAATTTCTCTCATTTTCATAAACTTTAGTAGAAGAATGTTGTGTTGTGTGTGAGATTTTTTTGGTGGTTTTAACGAGATGGTATTTTGAATATGTCAAAATTATGATTTTCAATCAATGAAGAATGACTCTTATAACAAAAAAATTGTTCAGTTTACATAAAACACGAGCCGATGAATCATGTATCATAAAACAATTGAAGAGACACTAATAGTATTATCTCAACTTATATTATAACATGTAGTGTACCAGCTTATATTTCACATTCACCCCTAATCAAACTCTTTGGTTAATTGGATACCTCATTTTTCTTACTTGAACATTGATTATGAGATTAGATTCTCTAATCGTCTATGAGAAAGTAGTAATACGAATCTTCTTATGCAGCTGAAGTGTCAATAAGTTATAAATAATAGCTAGTGGAAGTCATCAAATCTATCAACATTAAACCGTTGGTAATGACAATTATTTAATATCTTGAAAGTGGTGAACTCAAAAGCCAGTAAAAGTTAGGTGCCTCAATTATTAATCTAATCACCCATTATTTTCTTAAGTTGAGTAAAAAACTAAAATCAATTTGGGTGATTTATATACTAAATTCATGCAGCTAAATAATGCAAAACATTCTACGCTAATCAAATAATTTTTTCACAATTATTATTCATATTTCAACTTGAATTGAAGCACAAATTTGATTGATGCGCAAATTTGGTTGGTGCATAAATTTAATGTGTCTAGCGTTATTCAATTAATTTTTAACGCGTCTAGAATTAGAGTAAAAATGATGTAGGTGCAACACGTGGTTGAATTTGTAACACCATTTAATAAAAGATTATCACAAGAATTAGAATAAAAATGATGTAAGTGCAACACGTTGTCACAATACTGATACCAATTTAACCAAAACATACAAGAATTTGCCAATAAAACTTTTTTTTAAGATCGATGCGAAGGATAAACACGACATTCGACTCACTCGAAAACAAGGGGCCCTCACAGGAACTGATAAAAATAGAAAGAAGTTTGCATCATCAACCTACTCTTGTTGTTTCCAAAAAAATTAATTAAAAAAAAAAAAAACATCCTTGTGATTATTCCTTAGGAAGTGCTAAACTAAAACTATTATTACACAAAAAAACAAAAAACAAGGAACAATGTTGTAACAATTTTAATGTCCAATTTCCGTTTTTCGGATTCTGAATTTGTTTCTCTTCGTCCTCCAACAGCAATCCATAATTTCCAGCTCACCCGCCTAGATCGGATCCATTTTTCTGCCACCACCACCACCTTTCACCTTTAATTTCATCCGACGCCACCTCGGACCTGGGTTTTTTCCCCCTTTCCATCATCCCCAGTAAAAATTTCACGCAATCCAAAATCCCCCTCCCTCAAAAAATTAAATCTTTTTCCCCTTTTTCTGCTCAAAAACATAGAAAAAGAAAAGAAGTTATATATTTTTTTCTATTTATTGGTGTTTTAATTTGCTCTCACGATGAACAAGAACACCAAGGAGAACCAAAAGCTGAGAAAACCCAGCAAGGATTCGTAAAACCCAATTTGTCTGCAGCTGGGTTTGTGTTAATGGGCAACGTTACGGCGGGTGTGGCGGCCAAGTTTGCGTTTTTCCCACCGGACCCGCCGACGTACGACGTGTACAAGGACGAGGGAGGGAAGCTGGTGTTTTCCAGCGTGACGGCGGACAAGAACATGGAGGTGCATTTGCTGGACACGAAGGGCGGGAACAAGATCGTGGCGACGTTTTGGCGGCACCCTTTAGCGCGGTTCACGCTGCTCTACTCGCATGGGAATGCGGCTGACTTGGGGCAGATGCACGAGCTCTTCATTGAGCTCAGGTCTCACCTGCGTGTCAATATTATGAGGTATTTTTGCATTTGAATTTCTCCCTTTTTTTATGTTTTTGATGTAGGAGAGGTGTTGGGGAAGAGATTCGAACTTGGGAACCAAGGGTGGTGGTGCATGGATAAATGCTCTTAATCGCCTTAACTGTAAAAGCCTTGCTTTTTGCTTGTTTTGGATTCTGCTCTGGATTTTGATTGATGGGTTAGCTTTGTTTTTAATTAACTAGTATCACATGGGATTTTTTTGCACCTTTTTTTCCTTTCTTTGGTATGTTTCTGGGTTTTGTTCCTTTTTTGTTCATTGAATACCTACTCGGTTTTTTTAATTTATTTTGGTATTGGTTTCTATGTTTTTCAGTTTGTTGATTGTTTTCTGCGTTTTCCTTTTTTTTTTTTCAATTAATTTTCTGATTTGATTTTTGAAATATGGATGCTCCTTTGCTTCCATGTTTGATCTGTTTCGTTTGTTTATTTGAGAAGATTATCTGTTTATGCTAGTATTCTTTCGAAATTTCAATATTGGTTGTTCCAGTAAACAAAGGTGGCCAACACAAATGATAACTTTTCTTTACATTTTGTTGGTCTTACGTTTTTGTCTGCACTAACTCATAGAAACTTGTTTAAGCTGAAACTGTTTGATTGATCCTGTAGCTTTCTTATTTTCACTCGTTTTGGCGGGGTTGGTATGGATGCGTAGGATAAAGAACGATCTTCGTCATAGAAATTACTCTGCCGGCATTTGTCAAGCGCTTGAGAGTTCAGCAATGTAGTTTTATATTGAGGAGCTTATGCATCCAAAAAAAAAAAGACAATGAACTTTGAATGTTACATGCAGTTGATATGCTGTAATTTTTCTAATTCACCGTGCTACAATAATATGAAAACCTTCCCGTGTTTGTTTACTTGACATATTTTTCTTTGCGGACAGCTATGACTATTCGGGCTATGGAGCATCCACTGGTAAGGTGAGTTTGCGTATCTATGAAGTTAATTTGCGTTTATAGTCCTTAGTACAGAATTAGGTCTTTACTGTCCATCCTTTTTGTATCGTTCTACTGACCGGTATAGCGAAAATTGATGACTGAAAAGTGTTAATGTTGGTGATTGTTTAGCCATCTGAGTTCAACACATACTTATGACATAGAAGCCGTGTACAATTGTTTAAAGAATGAGTATGAAATAAGACAGGAGGATTTGATAGTGTACGGCCAATCTGTTGGAAGTGGACCAACGCTGCACTTGGCTTCTCGCTTAAAAAAACTGAGAGCCGTTGTTCTTCACAGTGCCATCCTTTCAGGCATACGAGTCTTGTATCCTGTCAAGTTGA